GAACTGGATGGTCTTTAAGGTCCCTTCCAACCCAAACCATTCTCTGATTCTATGATTCTATGAATGGATCTGAAGCCCTTTATATCTCACTGTCTTCTCCCACATATTGTTGTATCTTCTCAGTTTAGTGTTTTTGTTAAATAGTTGCCTTCCCACTCTGGTTTTTATTCTGTATTCCAGATAATTACTAGTCTTCACTTCTGTGTTAAGTTCCGGCATCCCTCCGTTTCCCATCACGCAGCTTTAGTAGAAGTGCTGGCGGGTTCTGGTGAATGTAGCAGAGGAGTCGGTGGGCAGAGTGTCATACAGCCCGCCCTACGGCAGCGGCTGGGGAGAGGAGGATCGTGACGGGCTACTGGAATATTTTCAGTTCTTACTTATCAAAGGAAAATGAGCGACTGATTTGGTGTTTGTGGGATTTTTTCCTGTTTTGAACTGTGGTGGTGTAGCTACGGAAATGCTGTTTATTTTTCCTGTTGCTATTAGATATTTCATTCCTCTTCCTGCATGTAAACCCTTCAACTAGAAAAGCCCAGCGAAGAGCATAGAGGTTTTGTGTGGGAATGTCCGGAGAGCGCCTGGATGTGCTGCTTTGTGTAGTCAGTCCATCTAAAGGAGGATTCGTGGTTGAGGCCTGCAGCTGTATTAGCGCACTACTCGCATTCCTTCGTGGTGAGCTGTGGGCGTAGCTCTGGCATGGCTTTTTCCTGTAATGCCTGTAACAACACCCACCCTGCTATGCTGGGTAGAAAAAAAGTTTGAAGTGTGTGTATGTGTGGGAAGCTCTTTTTTGTCTTGTTCTTACGGTACACTTTCACGATGACCAAGTGCTGGAAGGAAGATTGCAGGAGGAATAAATAAAAATAGTGTAATTTTTTTTGTAAAGCTAGTGTTTACAGTGTCACAGTGCTCATGGTTTTAATTATTTCTTTTTATTTTTGCTCCTTTTGTGAATCCTTGCGCTTTGAAATGGGAAGGACTGATGGATGCTTTCATTCTGTGGCCTTCTACAAGGTGATTTTGGCCTGTGTTAATGGTAAATTGTTAACAAAAGTGTCTTTTTCTTTTTTGCTTTATCAAGCTCTGTGATTTGTTAGACTCTTCATGTATTTCAACCATGTTTGTGTCTCAGTTAAGCAGTTGGAGGTGAGGCATTGTGTAGTCTGTATTAAGGTCCTATTCCAACAGTCTTCAGTGTCTTTAATGTTATGAAACTTTATTCCAGTGTGGGTAGAAAGTAATTAAACAACACAAAGTAAATGATTTTCGTTGAGGATTTTTGCAAGGCACTTATGCAAGTCCTAATATTTCAGCATTTTAGCATCTTCCTGGTAAAAAGGAAAACCTGGAAACCTTGTTCCAATAGCGGTAGTTTTTTTCTTTCTTTTTATTCTCTGAAGAAGAGACTCAAATTGTTGAGGACACCTTTGTAGTTCTTTTTAATTATATGAGGATGTGTCTGAAATCTAATATTGATCAAAGCTACATAGGTTGCTTCATAACAAATTCTTGACTGCAGTTAACAAATGTCATCTATTTCTGAAGTCACTAGGCATATGAAAAGAAGTATTTCGCTCCCCTCTTTTTTTTTTTTCCTTGTCATGAATATTTTAACTGGAACTTTGAAGAATTTTTTGGACTTTATCAAAGATGGCCTTTTCCATCACCTATGCTTCAAATAAAAAGTATGTCACATATTAATTTCATCTTGAAGTTTCACATGGCAACTGATGTACATCTTGCAGCACTCAGTAGATAGGACTCTTACTTGGTTTTTTTTTTTCTTAAACTGTGGATGCTTTCGGGTAGAGACAACTATTACTGCAGCTGTTGCTGTGGGGACACAATAGCTCTCCATTTCTCTTCAAGAAAGACATTTATGTTTCTAGGCCCTTCATTGCCTTTAAAACCCAGGTTACTGGTCCATGTGAGGTGTAACACCAGTTTTTAGAAGCAAGGTATCCTCAAGGTCCTAGACCTGTTACGTGTACATTAGAAAAAAAAAAAATAGGAATAGGGAAAACTGCAAAGTAAAAAATGACGGCAGTGGTAAGCTGCTTTAAAATATCCTTAGTTGGGCAGTAAGCATAAATTTTAAAGTATATAAACTGTTCTATATGATGTGTGTATACTTATTTTCTGCATGTTTCAGCATTTCAGAGCGCAGGGCCTGTGTTGGCTAGGGTAGTCTGTCTGTAGGGACCTCTACTCTATCGTCTGCTTGCCTGGAAGTTGAGTCAAATGTGGATTTACTAAGGGTCAAGGGGACACTGCTTGTTAACTCTATGGGCTGTGATCCAACTTCCATGGCGTATGTTTTGCAGAAACCCCACCACACTTCTCTCGCTGTTTCTCTCAACCTTTCCAGTTTTCCTTGTTAGGGTTATATCCAGCACTATCTGCCACCTTGTGACTTCACATCATTGGGCATTTCTGCATACCTAGACCAGACAGAGAATTTCCTGTTAAAACTGCAATTTTGGGTAGCCCTGCTTTTCTGCATGCCATCAGTAAAACACGTCATGTTTTCTGTTTCCCATGTTAAGTATCATCTCCCTGATGCTTTGTCCCTTCTGGAGAGGTCTTTGTCAAAGCTGTGTAGGAGTAAAGTGCACAACTGTGGTGGGCAGAATCTGTGCTTGCCTGTCAGTTCACCTTTCCCCATTGTAGGGTTAACCGCTCTGAATTGTGCTTAATGTGATAATTTATTATTATACAGAAGGAAAAGGGAAGTCTATATGGAATGCTGCTTAGGATGAAAAGCTAGAATCCTTGTGAATCTTACCAATAAAACCTAAAGAGTGAAATAATTGTTTTTAATTCTAGGAATTAATATCAGGTGTTGCAAATACAGGTTCTCTCGGGTATTGACAGTAGTCTTGGGAATTCTGGCAGGAGAAAAATATGGTGTAGGTTTGAGTCCCAAGACAAAACCTAAAATTCTGAGTTAATTTGGGATTGGGTGTTTTATGATGGAACATGGACTTCACTGAATTGAACTGTGTTAAGCCTTCAGATATAAATTGTCTCAGCCCATCTCAGTAAGTAGCTCGTAATCCATCCATCAGTAATGTTGCTTTTTTGCTTACAGAATGTTTCCAAAACAGTTTACTAAGGTGATTAAACTACAGTTTGGTCAGATTTATGACAGAATATGAAGTATGTTTTATTTTTTAATGCCTTGTAACTTGGTCTTCTCATGCAGTAGAACTTATGTCTTTAAGTTGTTTTAAAGTCTTGACAGTGAAGTTGTAGTCTGAATATTCTGTGCACTTTTAACGCAAACTATTTACTAGCAATAATGAATTTGTTTCTTTTCCCTTTCCCAGAATCTTTGAGGATGAACGCATGAAACTCCGACAGCTGAAACTAGAGTATCAGGTAAATAATAGTGCTGAAGCTGATGAAAATAAGTATAGGAAACCAAACATTAGCCATCTAGAGACTTCAGAAGTGAGGGTGAAGTACTAAAAATGCTTGGTCTAAATACAAACAAGAACGCATTGGTAACACTTTTCTTTCAAGATTCTAACGGTTTTCGTTAAAGTCAACCTTGCTGTGGCTTGTAGGCTTGATTTCTTTGATACATTTATTTTTCATACATCCTCTCATTTCATTGGGATTGAGGCACTACAATGCAGGAATGAATCGAAAGAGAGGAAGGCTGCAGGGAATTATCCATTCTAAGTATCAAAGAAAAAGTTTCCCCAAGCTGTAGAAAGATCTCCTTAACACTGCTGTTGAGAAAGATTTCCAGTATCTTTTGATGATTTTTGTTTCCTACAAAGAAAATACTACAGCCAAGCATTTGTCAAATATTAGGTTATAGGTCTGGGTTTTTAAAGAGCTGTTTGCTGTGAGCTTACATCACCATGTTCTTAAAATTAATCAAGTATCCATCCTTAATATTCGTCCTCTGAAATTTTAAATGCTTATAAATAGATGAGAAGATGCGAGATCATGGTGATTCTCTAGCTGGCCATTTCACGTGGACCACACATCACTGTCTCACATTAAATTCATCTGTACTTAAATTAGAATGTGTTTTTCAGGAAAGCTTTCTCTCAGCTGAGGATTTCTAAATCCAGACATAACAGACTTCAGGGAACTGTTGTAGTAGGTAATAACCTACTTGTTACCAAAACTTGTTCATTATTTCTAGTCTGAGTCTACCTACCTTTGACTTCAGACAGCAGATTTATTACCAGCTTTATTTGTGGTATCTTACAGGTGCTTATCTAAAACACCTCAGAGTCAAGCAGTAAAACTTATCTTTGGTCATATTTGTGGAAGCTAGGATAATCCTTTTACCTGTAGGCTATCTAGTAACACTTGTTAAAAAAAAAAAAAAAGCATTAGTTGAAGTAATCAAAATGCCACTCAGTAAGAAGCTCCAAATCTAAGAATGGTCTGACTGCTTGGTGACAAACCTCAGTGTCTGTTTTAGGACTGTTGTCTTGGGTCTTAAGCTGGTAGTAATCACTGGCTCCTACTGCTATGGTCAACGTATGCCTAGTTTTTCAGATCTTCCCATGGGGATGTATTGATGCTCCACTAAAACAAAGCTGCTCTGCTGGGGGGGTTCCCTCAGAGAAGCTGTCAGTTGAGTAGTGAAGAGGTGATTGTAAAATTTTCATACCTTTTTGCAATTTTGTTTTAGGCTTTCTTGGATTTGGTTGAGATTGCAGTCAGCAAAGCCAACAGCTAGAAAATTTCACTAAAATATACTTCAACACCCCCACTCCTTGCAAATGAGATTTGTTGAGCAACACTAACAGTCTCTAATTTAGGATTGTATATTTAGGTTTAAATATTATTTTTTTGTCTACTTTTAACTTTTACATGAATAGTCCAATGCGTTCTGAAGAGACAGAGGTCAATAGCTGCAAATGCGTCCTAAAATATTTAATGCATGGAGCTTACCAAGTCCTGAACAAATCATGCTGGTCTGTATCTAGGATTTATTTAATGGCTCATGTGGTCTGGTGTCCTGTTCATCAACTATCTAAATTTTTTTTGTAATATTATATAAATTTTTACTGTAACGCAGAGCTGAAGGAAAAGGCTAGTTAGTAGACAAAATGAAACAAAATAGAGTTTCCTTTTTTCCCCACTTCATTTTAGTGGAATAAGTCTGAGCATACATAGTACCGAAGGTAAGGCTGCTCTGCCACCTTATGTAGAGAGAATGAACTGCTACTATCTCTCCTGGCAGTGAGCTTGGAGATTTATTTTCTCCCATCTCAACAAGCAAAAATGGAGAAGCGTTTTTGAAACAAGTTAAATTACTGTCAAGTTTTGTCACGCTGATAATCCTGAAGTTCTTGCAAGAAGGTTGGTCGCATTTACCAGCAGTGAAGTACATGTTTCACTATAAACCAATATGATCCCATTGGATTGGTGGGTCTTAGAAACTTTCTGATGAAACAGAATGCACTAGAATAAGAAAAAATAAATTTTTGGACTGGTGAGGCAGTGAAATGTTTAAAAAAAGCTATTTAATAGAATAACCAGCTAAGTAGCCCTGAAAGCTATTATATCCTATATTGATCTCAATTTCCCATTCTAGCAGTAGCTGTGTGCTTTCTTACTGCCTTCAGGATGTTTGTTTTATTCTTTTTTTTCTTGTCTGTCTATTTTTCAGGTAGAGAAGCCTTGGCAATAATTTTTCTCAACCCTTACTCTTAGTATAATGTTTTGATTCTTGTTTTCCCTCTCCTTTTATTTAAAGCTGTTAGAGATTTATTAGCTATCTCATTTTTTAAATTTTTCCTCAGCATTAATTAAAAAACCCACAAACAACCAATATGATCCCATTGGATTGGTGGGTCTTAGAAACTTTCTGATGAAACAGAATGCACTAGAATAAGAAAAAATAAATTTTTGGACTGGTGAGGCAGTGAAATGTTTAAAAAAAGCTATTTAATAGAATAACCAACTAAGTAGCCCTGAAAGCTATTATATCCTATATTGATCTCAATTTCCCATTCTAGCAGTAGCTGTGTGCTTTCTTACTGCCTTCAGGATGTTTGTTTTATTCTTTTTTTTCTTGTCTGTCTATTTTTCAGGTAGAGAAGCCTTGGCAATAATTTTTCTCAACCCTTACTCTTAGTATAATGTTTTGATTCTTGTTTTCCCTCTCCTTTTATTTAAAGCTGTTAGAGATTTATTAGCTATCTCATTTTTTTAAATTTTTCCTCAGCATTAATTAAAAAACCCACAAACAAACAACAAAAACATAAATTCTTCTGGAGTGTCTGACTACTTTCTAGAAGACAAATTATATCTATAATGAGCATTTTCTAAGAATTTGACTTCTACTGCTTATTCTTCTTTTCTTCTAGACCAGTGTGATAATCTCTCTGGAATTCTATGTAATTATTGCCCTACAGGATGGTCCTTGCACAGTAACAAATACAAACCGTATTGCAGTGCAGTCTGCAAAGTGTAATTATGGGTTTAAATAAAAAAGGTTGTTTTCGTTTGGGTTTTTTGATTACTTTGGTTTGGTATTGGTGTTTTATTTTTCTATGGGATTTTTTTTGTTTGTTTGTGAGGGGCGGCGTTTGTTTTGTTTTGGTTTTTTTTTGAGAAGTGCTCGAAAAGCAGGAAGAACAGAGGACTAAGTTGTGCTGGAATTCCTCAGGGAGAAGTTGCCCGAGAAACTAACCTCATTTGAGATAAAAAGCCTGATAGGAGAGGAAAGAACCGACAAGAGAGGAAAGGGTTCCAAAGACATCTGTCTCAAGTAGATTGAACTGTTGGTCCTGTTTATCTGATGGACCCTTGGAGACTGAAAAGCATTTGATGGAGCAAGGGTTTCTGTGGTCAAGAACAGCTTTCAGGGGGTGTTCAGGTACCTAGAAGCAGGCATGGATAAACTGCATCTGTGGCAGGGGGCTTGCACACCGTTTGCATAGTGGTGCATTACTGAATATTAGAATATGATTTTTCCTCCTTCATGCATCACCTTAACTTTTAAGAATTAAGTGTGACTGTCTTTAAAATGGTGCAGTGTCCCCATTTACCTTGATGTAAGTCTAGGAGTTGTTTCTATTCTTGTTTAGTAGGAAATAATAAACAGCAAATGTGTGTGTATCTTGGAAAAGTATTGTTTTATTTTTTAACATTTGGATTTACCATTCCTTCCTGTCAATCCTGAATTCCATGGAAAAAAATTTGCCAGGTAGACCAATTTTCCTTTTACTGGTTCAGTCCTATTTTAATGACTATAATTTCCCTCCTTCCCCTAAGTCTTACCTCTCAACACTGCCTTCTGGGAGCAAGTTGTTTTGAGTTCTCCCTATAAGATGATAGCTTTTGAGCCAAAAACCTTTTCCTTTGCAAGTCCTGACTTGCTTTTGTGGCCTTGTGAAATAATTTATAACTACAGTGACAGTGAGCCCGGATTAAGGATTTTTAGAAATGTTACACTAATACAGTAAAGTCTTAATTGCCATATAATGCATTGGGCAAGGACTCTCATCTTTATTCTGGCACTTTCAGATAGTCTTGGAGATAATTCTCTTAATACGAATTTAGCTTGATTGTACAAAACAGGGAGGAAAAATTATACAGTCCCTGAATGCACAGGAAGCTGTTGTCCTAAATGATGGAATGTTTAGTCCAATCATAACTGTAGTTGAAAGAGCAGAGAGTCCTTGTGAGCTGTTTGGTGTGCTCTATCAGCGTAAGTAGGTAGGATGCATGGAGTAATAAAATTGCATGAATGTGCTGTGTATTACAACATTTGCTTTGTGAAATGTTTCATATTGGATTATGTGTCTGCTGAATTTGTCTTTTTATATTAAGGATCCAGTTTAGACTGGATGAAGGGAGTTAAAATTATCTGCCGTTGCTCTCAGAATGCCTCCTAAAGTATTTAAGGCATGGAGTTCACCAAGTCCTGAACAAATCATGCTGGTCTGTATCTAGGATTTATTTAATGGCTCATGTGGTCTGGTGTCCTGTTCATCAACTATCTAAATTTTTTTTGTAATATTATATAAATTTTTACTGTAACGCAGAGCTGAAGGAAAAGGCTAGTTAGTAGACAAAATGAAACAAAATAGAGTTTCCTTTTTTCCCCACTTCATTTTAGTGGAATAAGTCTGAGAATACATAGTCTTTCAGAACAGATCAGAAAATAAGCAGGTGTCCACATCACCCATCAACCATTGATGGAGAATCCAAGGCAACATCTCACTCCAAAGGCGTGGTGATACCTGTGTCTAGGATTTCTGTAAGAGATTACAAGAGTATTTCAGGCTTATTGGAGATCCTGATCACTGACACGTCATCACCAATGGCTGAGGCATGGTTTCTGCCTCTCTGGATGTGGTTACTCATCCTTATCTCATGCTTTTTTCCATAGAGAGCTCTTCTAGAGAAGAAGCAGAGGCAGAAACGTCTTGATCCCTTGATGGTACAGCCAAATACTGAAGCAAAGCTGCCTAGGTCCAAGCCCAAAAGGTGTGAGGAGCAGACTCCTTTAGTAGAAACTCCTACCCCTTTCCACAGTGGTGTTACATTACATGGTAAGTGCTCAGCTTGATTGCAGCAATGTTCCCCAAAATGCCAGTGCATGTATTTTGTGTCACAGATGGGCACCTACATTGCTGTGACAGCGGTCAAGTGATAAACAAGATTTATTACATACCTTTCTATGTACGAATGTGGAATTGTAGTACAGTATGGCTGAGCAATACTGAAGTGTAAAAAGAAACAAAAACCTTCCCTTGAATTTTGTGACAGCTGAGAATCTTCATGTGCCTTTGAGTAATCTCTCCTTCGTGTTAGGCTCAGAAGAACTGTAGAAATGGGTTGGGAACTTCTATAAAGGTAGGGAGACACAAATCCAAAGTGAGAGAGTCTTCTGAAGCTGTAGGATAAAGAAAAGGAAATATTCCATTAGTGCCTGTCTGTACTTTTCTTCAAGGTATACTCCTTCTCAAGATCGTGTATGACTGAATGAAGTAGACAAGAGCAGAACAAGTCTGACACTGAATTAGGTTCTTGCTGGTTTTTACCTCACCTATTATAGTTTTTGTGGGCTTCAGGGAGACAACTGAAACATGACAAACAAGCTATAGTGGTCCAGAAGGTCACAAGTACAAAGTGATATCAGAGTCAAAGGCGGTAACTCAGTGGTCTCAAAACACCACAGTAAAATAGTGACCGTTCTGTTAGGAGTGAAGAGAAACACAGTAGGGAGAGCCTGAAGACTTCCATGTCGCAGGGAGGACAAAAGACCAGCACTGAAACCCCTACATTCCAATGGAAGTGTTGGGAAGTAGTTTGAGAGCAGGACCCTGTCAGCCTATCAGGAAAGTAACAGCAAACATCCTAAGGCTTTGAGATGCATGCTATTGCACCACCACGATATTGAATGGGAATGAATGTGTAGAGCAGAATTTTAAAAACCCAAACAAGGCAGTTACCTGGTTTAAAGATTACATTTGGAACTATGTTATCCCATCTTTTGAATGTTTTTCTTGTTGTCCAGATGTTTTTCAGGATCATAGGCCGGGGAGGCGAGCGGTGATGTTGATGGTAGCATTTATGTGTTTAAAATCAGGTGGGAAAAAGATTTAGTTAAAAGATACTTCTAAGTCAAAAAGTGAGTGAGAGAAAAGATTGATACAACTTCTAAGTTAGGAAGTTTCAGCAGTACTGAGACGCCAAGAAAACACACCATGAAACTGCACTAACTGCTCCCCCACTAGCTTCCATAGTTCTGAAGCTCATTCAAAACAGATCCTGTTACAAAGTGATAGCAGCAGTCCCACTAGCTTCCATAGTTCTGAAGCCCCTCATTCAAAACAGGTCCTGTTACAAAGCGATAGCAGCAGTAAACATGTCAGAAATCTGATGACTAGATGAAGCAATAAAGTTTTAAGAAGAAAACCAATGGGAAAGCAAGAAATCCAAAACTGGAACCACACTTACATGTTGTGTGCTACACAAATGTGTATTAAGTATTGTGCCAGACCCTGACATCAAGATGTCTCCACCAGTTACAAAGTGCAGTGCACCGCTGTGTTGCATGCTTAAATGTGGAAAATTCATTTCTACCAAAAAGATAATGACATACTGTTACAGTTTTTTCTGCCTGTGGCTGTAGATATTTTTTATCAAATTGATTTGTGATGTTCAGTGTAGAGCACTCACTTGTTGACACGGCACCAAACAAGAAACCTGAAGGAAAAGAAAATAGAGTAGTTGCCCGGAAATAAATTGAAGGATACCAATGTGCATGACAGATCCAACTTGTTTTAATTGCTTAAGCCCTTGTAAAAAAAGTAGATACAATCACTATGTTTATAAATGAAGAAACTGATGCCTGATACGTTTAAAGTAATAGGTGGTCTGTACCAGAGTCAGGCCTGATTCCTCCCAAGTCGTCTGATAAAAATTGAGCAAGTATACTAAAGGGATGCTTGAGCAAGGGAAGGTGAAGAGAAACACCATCCTGGGATGTGTCTTTAGCTATATTAAAAAAACCCCTATCATTCTGTTTCATTTTGGCCTGCAGGCATTGATGGACCAGCTGCTTTCCTGAAATCTGAAGTGCAAGTTCTGGGGACCAAGCTCCAAACTCTCTCTGCTGGATCTTTTAAAACAGAAGACAGTGCAGATCAGGAAAATGATAGAGAGGCTCTAACAGACACAGCAGGCAAGCCAGACCTGCAAGAAATCTTACAGAAACGAGGTAAGAGTTGATAATGGGCAGAGGTCATTTTCAGGACTCTTCTACTTATAATTTGTTTTCAGTAGCATTAAAAACCCTAAAATCTCATGATTTAATGAGAAATCATGAAACAAGTGCCTGTAGGATATTACTTTCAAATGCAGAGCTAGTAGATTCTACTGCATGTAGAAATGCAGAACTGAAGTTCCTTCTTCTGATGTAACTGGTATGTTCCTGTTAATGTTTTAAGGGTTTATCAGTGTGCTGTATAGTTTCTGGCCTTGCCAAGGAAGTTAGTGATAAAATGCTATACTTCACATTTTGTTTAAGTTCAGGATATTTTTATTCTAGGTATATTGTGTCTGGCTATGATGCTTTAATATTTTCTCAACAGCAGAACCCTCTGTAGCCAGTAAATGTCATGATTTAACTGTTTAGGAGACTAACAGGAAAGGTGTTCTTCCTGAGTCAGAGGCTGTCATGATCAACAGTTTGTGTTACATTCAATAGCTAGACCCCACTGAGTAGTTTCCCAGTGGAGTGTCCATCTCTGTCTGCCAAGTATCTTATGTTGCTGCCAGTATTGCAGGAAACCTTTTTTGTTGTATGCAGCCTAAGCACTTGGCAGCAAAATAATGGCAAGTGTTTAATATGGTACACAGCTTGTTTTTATTTTTAACAGCTTCCCAGAATGTTTCCAGTACACTTATGTATTCAGGTACTACCTAGGTAGACATACTTCCATTCAGTTGTCAGATGCAACAGCTGGTTACCTATGGATAGCAACATTACACAAGAGTTAGGAAAGGAAGCAGGAGACACTATCCAGAAACTTCAGGGGAAATTAGTGGAGATAGAATATAAACAGTGAAGTTTGAAGTTGGCTGGAGTACTACGGTTAACGCCTTTCCTCTTTCCACATGTGCTTTGGGAAGTTTATTGACAGGTTGTTAAGACTATGTTTTTCTGTTTCATTTGGGATGAAGAACTTCCAGCAGTGTCCCTTCTGTGGAGTGCCATGTTGGAGCACTGTTAGAATATTGGCTCTCGGAAAGTAATTCAGCTTAGCAGGCTGAGTGTGTTCTCAGAGTGCTTTATGTGCATTTCCATTCTGCAGCGAATTAAAGAATGGAATCACAGAATAAAATAATGCAGTTCCAAGTGGAAGGAAACACTAAACAGTGGATGGAAGTTCTTTGTAAATAACTTTATCCAGAGTTGTTTAGTTATACCCACAGTCATCTCTGCTTAACTGTGCTTAGGTTAAGATTAAATAAAAATTCCTGGAACTACTCAGTCTGTGCTTCTGTTTTAAAAATCAAATCATCAGTAGTATTCATGAGACCAGAGTTATTGCTGCTGATGTAAGAATAGGAGGGTCTCAATGAAAAAATATCATATTCCATTTCATTGTGTATAAGGCTATGTATGGGGAAATGGTAAAGGATGTAAACTGTAGAGAGTCCAATTTACAGGATAGGTGTCAGCACAGTGATCTGGATTTCCTTTTTTTTTTCTTAAGACATGGGGGGCTTTTTTCATGACAATAGGCAAAATTAATTCAATGTTAGCATATACTAAGCAATATGTTACATCATGATCATGTAAAATATGTATTAATACAAGCAGGACAGCTGCTTAATCATCTGGACAGTGACAGCTGCAAATGTCACTAGAGGTTTGAATTACAAGGCTCGGGAAGCCATATAGTACATGAAGAAGATCAGCAGTTGAAACAACAGAAATTAATTACAAGAGGGAGAGCTGAATAGCTATGCAAGAGTTGTGAATTAGTGATGCCATGAACTCATGACACCTGCTTTCAGAGGTTACCTGCTTGATCCTGTGTTCTGACAGGAATTTCAGACAGTTTGAATTTTGATGAGGATGGCACAGACGAGGAAGAAGCTAATAAGAGACCAGCATCTCATTCACAGGGTCCTGAATCTGAGAGGCCTAGTTCTGCAACCAGTGAGAGATCTTTTACTGTAAGTCTCTTGAAATCCATTTCTCATAAGGGCTGGGCACGTGCTTGTTTTCAGTACTAACTCCTGGAGTGTGAGGTTAAAATATGGTAGTTGCAACTGTAGTAGCCAGCATATTAATCTCTGAAGGCAGAGGAAGATCATGATTGTTGGGTTGTTTGACTGAAGGACCACTGAGTTAAACACACAGACCTAGTCACGATCAAAGGAACAATGGTGGGTGGAAGAACCCAAGTAGCCCAATCAGTGAAGATGGGAACACAATGAAGCAGCTACTGCTGTGACCCTCAAAGGAGACAGATTAGGCCATTGTCTCTGGTGTAAAATCCGCCAACGTGACTCAGACACTGAAATGCCATGCAAAATTAAGAGGGATCACTGCCTAAAGGTTTATACCATTTGTCACGGGATGCAGGGGGGGACAGAATTTTGGGACTGAACAGAGAATTCTAGGATTGGACAAAACATTTTATGGGATGTTCAGGGGAAGTGACTCAGGAGGGAAAAGAAGAGGGTCAAGATGGATCAGGAAGTACTAAGCATGAGAAAATAGGGAGTGGAGGGGGTACTAGGCACCAGATGCATACAAAACTCCATCCCTGAAGGTATTTAAAAGACGTGTGAGTGAGGCACTTAAGGACATGGTTTAGTGGTAGACTTGGCAGTGTTGGGTTAACAGTTGGACTTGATGATCTTAAAGGTCTTTTCTAACTTAAACGATTCCATGGTTCTATGAAACAGCTGCAACACAGTATGCTTGTCTGCTCAAGCCTTGTGCCTGATTACTACAGCACATCCTACCATATTCTAAAGCTCTGTTGCTAACTATTGCCTGTGTGAATGTGTTCTTGTGTGTGTTTGTGTGAGAGAAATATATACATGCATACATACATACGCTGACAAACTATATGCTGAACTAGCCAGTGAGTTGGAAGAGGCCGGCACTAGGAAGAGCCAGGCTCTGAGCTAGTGACCAGATAAAGGACATAGGGTTTGGGCTTCGATGCCGGACAGCCTTAAGTCCGTGCTACTATCCAGAAGACCTGTGTGAGTTTATTTGTGAGGTGACTATGTGTGTGTTGTGCTACACTAGTGGGTTAGTAGTACAGAGGTCTGGGTGTTAGTTACTTGGGAGACTGAGCTATGGGTGCCGGGGTGGAGGGGTGCTGGAGCTGGGGAGGGCAGAGAGCCAGTAGTGAATTTCAAGTCTGTCTGTGTGCCTCTATAGTCACTCAGACTTCTACTGTCTGTACCTGGGAATGGGGATAAACCAGCTACCTCATCTCCAAGGCCCAGTAATGGGGGGAGTCTCCTGGGTTCTACAATCCACAGGATTCAGCTACCTCTAAGAAAAAAAATTAATGACCTATACCAGATTTCCATTAGAATTCCAGTTCGTTTGGTGACCATAACTTGCATCGTGGCTGTACACATTGTTCTAAGCTCCTTCCAGCATTTAGTTGGTGTGCTCCTGTTCTGAACCAACATAATCTCAGTTCTCCTTTCAGTCGCAGAAATCCCAACCTGTCTTACTGCAGCATCCATCAGCTCAGTTTATCATGCTGCCTTATTTCCACACGGTGTTTGCAGCTCTAAAAGCAGAGAAGCTCTTTGCTTAGAATGTGTACAGTCTCTGATCCTATTTTCCCCTTCCTAGCAATTCACTCATCTCTGGTTAATGGGTACTTTTTCTCCCCTCCCCTTGGAGACCTAGTCTTCCCTCAGAGTAAAAGTTTTCAGCCACTTTCTTCAGAGAAACACAGGTGGTCTCTTGTTTAACTTCCCTTTCCCAAATATCTTCTGGAGACCTGACTCTTCTGTTTCAACAGACCTTTCTTTCCTTGGGGAATACTAGAGCTTCTGATCTGATACGAATTTGCTAATATCATGGTTCTTCCCACAGGAAACAGGTGCTTCCTGTAGTCCATCCCCTCAGGCAGATGCACAGCTGGGAGAAGTGGAGAACTTGGAGGATTTTGCATTACACCCTGCACCCCGTGGTGTTACAGTCAAGTGTCGAATCACTAGAGATAAGAAGGGAATGGACGGGGGCCTCTTCCCTACATATTATATGCATCTGGAAAGGGAGGACAACAGAAAGGTATTGGAAGCAGCACACAGTATCTTGGCTATTGTACTCCTACCACAGAATATTTTTGGTGTAAGGGAGAGTTTCTGGTAAGAAGCCATAAGCCGGGGGGAGCCAGCATGCAGATGTGGACAGCTTGTATTTTGCCAAGGCACTAAGGAAGGAATTGGCATGTTTAAAAGCCATAATACAATGAAAGATTAACTTTTAAGAAGTATAAAAATGGAAGGATAAAGAAGAGCAGGGGGACTGAGCTGCTCCAGAAGAAAAGGAGGGAAGACTAGAAAGGACATTTGTATTAAATCTAGACTGCTGAGTGAGCTGATTGGAGGAATACGATTTCAAGATGTGCACTTTTGGTAGAGATCAAAATTGTGGAGACAGTAAAAACAGCACAGAACAGAAAGGGGATTGGATGTGGGAAATGAAGGGATAATAGTTTGGATAGCAATGCCTCTGCATTCTTACAAAGCTCCAGTCTTGATTAAAGGTTTGTGTTGTTTTTTTTTTTTCCAGACATTCCTCCTTGCAGGGAGAAAACGAAAAAAGAGCAAAACATCCAATTACCTCATATCAGTTGACCCAACTGATTTATCCCGGCAAGGGGAAGGTTTCATTGGAAAACTCAGGTGAGAACCACAGATGAAAACTACAGACAGGAGAGACTGGATTTTCATTTTAGTTGAGTTGTGGTTATGCATAGCAGTCTGGTATCAATTCAGAGAGAATGAACTTGCGTGGTTCTGCTTAATGGAATCTGTATTCACCTGGCTTGGCAACCTCTCTTCAGCAACCTATTCCCCGTGGCAGTTCAGAGAGTGAATTCTGGCTTGATGCTTTTCCAGGATAGGTTACAGGCTCGGTTCACCATGGGCACTTTGCAGAAGCTCCGTCCTGAGCTGGCATTAGGAAGATTCAGATGGCAAGAGATGTGTAATTTCACTGTGCTGTACAAATACCTTCTGGAGATGACAAAAGTTTCCACTGATGCCTCTCTCTTTTTCTGTCTTTCCAAAACCTGACATTAGGTCAAACCTTATGGGAACCAAATTTACAGTCTACGACCGTGGAGTCAACCCAACCAAGGCACAAACTCTAGTGGAAAAGGCTCGTACAAGACAGGAGCTTGCAGCTATTTGCTATGTAAGTAGTGCCTCTCCCCTTTTGCCCCTTTCTTTTTTGTCATCTGGTTCCCAGCGAAACAGGGCTTACACAATCATGCTGCCTGGAAGCCTCCCCCACTTAACTTTCGAACCAACTGACCAATTTCAACCAGATACAACAAAGGGCAGAGTCCTCAAAGATAAGTCCTTACAAGTTTAATGAAAGAAAAAGAAAAATCAATGCCAGGGGAGGAAGTGAGAACCAAACTAACATCCTGATGACCTTCTTACCTGGCCTTTTGTTTGTCATGTGGCCTGTCAGCATATCCTTCACCTATGGAGCCAGCCACAGCATGAACTGCCTCTTGCCCAGCTGGTATCTGGTGGACACAAAGAAAGAACTGGGAATACCCTGTGAAGTAAAGTTATTTTTTGCAGAAACAAAGGCATTTTGTTGGATAGGAAGGAGATGGTATTATTTCAGTTAGCAGCTTGTTTTTGCTAAGGATATGGTTCCAGGGGAAATTGTGATTCGCTAGCTTTGTCCTAGTGATGTTTTCTTCTTTTGGACTTGTGAATCAGCTCAGTTTAGGCTTCAGAGTGAGGAGACACTTGTGGACACTCTAGAATTATGCAAGGGTTCTCATAGAATCATCGAATGGTTTGGGTTGGAAGGGACCTTAAAGACCATCTAGTTCCAACCCCTACTAGGTCAGGTTGCTTAAAGCCCCATACAACCACAGCTTCTCTGGGCAACCTGTTCCAGCACCTCCCCACCCTCACAGTGGAGAATTTCTTCCTGATATCCAATCTAAATCTCCCCACTTTCAATTAAAACCCGTTCCCCCTTGTCCTGTCACTACAGGCCCTTGTAGAAAGTCTGTATTCCAGCTTTCTTACAGGCCCCTTCAGGTACTGGAAGGGGTGCTATAAGGTCTCCCCGGAGCCTTCTCTTCTCCAGGCTGAACAAGCCCAACTCTCTCAGCCTGTCCCCATGGCAGAGGGGCTCCAGACCTCCGCGCATCGCTACAACCAGGCTATATCCTTCTGATGTTGAGGGCCCCACAGCTGGACGCAGCACTCCAGGTGGGGTCTCACCAGAGGGGCAGAGTCACCTCCCTCGCCCTGCTGGCCACGCTGCTCTGGATACAGCCCAGGATACGGTTGGCTTTCTGGGCTGCCAGCACACACGGCCGGCTCATGTCCAGCTTTTCATCCCTCAGTACCCCCAAGTCCTTCTCCTCAGGGATGCTCTCGATCCATTCTCCACCCTGCCTGTACTTGTGTCTGGGATTTGTTTCATATGCCAGTCCTGAAGTTTGAGTAAAATGTGAGGTTCTTTACAAAATTATGCCCAGTCACGTGGAAGGATTTTTACAGGTACAGCAACAGGAATTTAAAAGTGCATTAACCTACTGGAGCATGACCTTGATTATTTTTTTGCTGTTGATCTTAATGGCACTTGGGAAATAAATATGTGTGGTAATTCCAGTACTAGCCAGTTCACAGAAGTATCCCTGGATATTTTCTTCGAATACAGTATTCTTCAGTTCTCTACCTAATTGTACACAGCAAGGTATTAAAATGAGTACAGGCGACTATCTTTTCAGATTTCTGAACTTCTATCTACAAGACATTCATAAAGTTTACATATTAATAAAATCAGCACCCTCGTTCTCATACATGGCCTAGATTTTCTGTAGTAAAATAATAGAGGTTGCCACTCCAAAGACCTTTGTTACGTGTCTACAAAATTCACTAGCATGTTAGAAGAAGCTGTTATCACTTCTGTCCATTAATTCAGTATTTCTAAAAGATTCTGGCTTTTAAATTAGTCTGTGGGAATTCTCAAGATTATTACTGATACTGTTACGAAACACTTTAAACAGACCCTTGGGTTTTGGTTGACATTATTAAATGAGAATGCCAAGACACTTTTTCCTTTGCTTTTTATACCCAATCCGTTTGGAGCAGTCGCCTGCAGTACTTTGGAAAAATCTGCTTGGACATATGCTGAATGCTTTTCTTTCTGGGCTTGTTCTTAATAATTTATAAAAGATTATATATGATTTGAGATAAAATTGTAGGTATGTTCTTAAACACAAATAACAGCACCTAAAGAAGAATGTCATTCATTCTTCAGGAATATTTTAGTCTAAATGGTGATATATAGCTAATATAGACTCAGGTCAAAGATATTTGCCTTTTATCATACTTAAGGCTTCTTCACTGACAGGATTTTAGCATGTTTTTGCCTCCAATGCAAAAACTTATGTCTGGAAGTTGCACTTGTCTGATTTCATTATAAATGTTTCAATAAAATAACAACTATGCTGTAAATTAGGTAATACTATGTATGTCTCTTACTGTAGCTCTCCAGGTGGGAGAGTGTGCTACTCACGTGATTCAGTACAGTTGCAGTTAGATAGCTGCTACTACAGTTGCAGCTAGCAAATCTCTAAAACCCAATATAAATGTGGATTGACATTCAGTTTGGCTGTCTTTCCTTCTTTGAGACAGAGTATCTCATTTACTGAAAATAATGTCTTGTCTTGTCTTTCAGGAAACCAATGTGTTAGGATTCAAGGGTCCCAGAAAAATGTCTGTGATCATTCCAGGAATGAATACGAATCATAAGCGAATTCCAGTCCATCCGCAAAATGTGAGTTATGGAGCTTGGTCAAGTCTCAGACTGAAGGAAGAGGTTAACACCTTCTTGTAGAGGTCTGGGTGTTACTGACCATCACAGTTTTTAGGGCAAGGTTGTTAATACCCAGGTCTTTAGCAAGTCTCATGGGGGGTAAATACAGTGTAGCCTAAAGGTGTTGATTCATTCATCCTTGTCTTTTACCTAATTTGTAGCTTTCTGAATAGTGTTTGTATCCTTACTTGCCCTTTGGTCAGCCTAAATCTGATTTACTTGGCTACTGCAGTAGGTAGTGTGTTGCTATTGCACCTACAACCCCTCCTCCACAGGTGAGACCCTGTTATGCTGAGAGCTGGATGAACACAGAACAAACCTGCTTCTCCCAGGAGCTTACGTCCTAAGCCAGTATGTGAATTACAACAGACAGATCAATAGATAAGGTGGCATTCTGGTGTAGTGGTGTGCTGGTTTTAGTCAGGACAGCATTCATTTTCTTCACAGCAGCTGGTATGAGGCTGTTTTGGGTTTGCCCTGAGCACGGATAAAGTGTTTTTTTCAGTTGGTTCTAAGGAGTGCTTGCACCAATTCAAGGACTTTTTGGCTTCTGATACTGCAGTTGTGTTCCCAACTTTCTCCCTACAGGCAGTGGGGGGACACGCAGCTCAGACAGCCGACCCAAACTGACCGAAGGGGTACTTCATCCCATAGCACATCATGCTCAGGACATAAGCCGGGAGTGGGGCGGGAGGCCGTAACTCCTTTGCTAGCTTGTTTGTTTGTTAGCTAGCTAGCTTATTTAGCTTGTTTGTAAGTGAATGGGTGAGTTGGTGGGTTGGTTGGCTTTCCCAGTCGTGATGTCTCTCTCTCGGGCTGTGGCTCTCACTCTCTGGTTCTGAATCTCGCTACTCAGGACCTGGCTGTGTATCAGTCAGCAGGTGGTGAGCAATGTATATTTTATTTTCATTACATGTTATTATTACTATGGTTAATAGTAGCACTACAATATCCATTTCTATGCAATTCTTAAATAGTTCTTATCTCAATCCATGAGTTTCCTTGTCTTTTCCTCCTATTCTTCTCCTCCACTAGAGGCAGAGAGGGGAGAGGAGTGAGTGGCTGTTTGGTACTTTATTGCTAGCCGAGGTTAAACCACCATGAGTAGCAAGAGAGTAAATACATTTTTGATCAAAATGTCATCAGTCTTTTAGTAGGAATCACAGGAAAGGAGGATTCTTTAAGTAAAAAGTGAGATGAGGAGAAGGATGGAGTTTTGTGGTGACTGTTTAGTAAGGATTTCTCATACATATTGAAGATCTATTGAGGTCTATGATGAAAATCATTCAGTTCCCTTAATATGGAGTTTGTGTTTGGTGTGATAGAAGGCCAAAAGGCAGGAAGGACAGGTGCCAACTGAAAGACATGGTCAGTGGTATTTGCAGCCATGTTGTGAGCAGCATAAGGGTGTATTTGTTGAGGTCAGAGAAAAAAATTGAGTGGAAATTCAGCATCATGAGAGCCTGGAAAAGAGTTTCAATTTTGTGAATGGCTAAGAAAATTGTATCTGAAGTGGTCATTTATTCATCATCTTTCATTTGGTATTGCCATCTCCCCCATCCAAGGCTCTGCCTTTATTTCTTCTCCCTCGTTTCCCCAGCTGTTTTGCTACCAGACGAGTGTATTGACCGTGAAACACAAAGCTGGTCTGAAAAGCTGGCAAAGCTTTCAGTGTAAGGGTCTTATTCTGGTTTGTCTTCTTTATCTCGACTGTGATGCCTCCCATCACGCAATGCTTTAAAGGAAGAACAATTACATCTAAATGCACTTTGTTGGTGCCAATTCTCAAAGTTCTTTTTGCATCCCTAACAAAGTAAATGAAGAGAAAAATAAAGATACAAAGTAACTCGTTTAAACTGAACAATAAGTTTTACTTAGGTTATCCTCAAAAATCCACTATCATACCTGTTTACAATACTACAAGAGTTACTATAACCACGTCAGTCAGACCTCCACAACAGGTTGTCTCCTGATCATTTTTTCCCATTAAGTAACTTCAGTTTGGATTCTTTTATTGGGAGTTTTAGTATGTATTATTTTAGTTTGGATTTTATTTGTTGCAGAACTTTTAAAATTAAATCATGTGTTATGTGTGTACTCTTTGCAGCTCCTTGTAATTAGTTCTGTTTGTGCTGGTTTACCTCCTTTTTGTATCTTTTTGGTTTTATTTCTCTCTGGTTTTCATATTGTGCATCACTTATTAGACCAAATAGTAGGTTAAATTAGACATTTAACCTACTTAAGGCACACTTACAGCCTACTGCCTGCTGAAGCACCCCAGGACCTGGTGCTATGCAGTTACTTGTAGATTATTTTGTTTCAAAGTTTAGAATGTTAGAAATGAAAGTTGGATCCAACAGGATCAGAGAAAGATTATGAGACTCGGAAATGATTCCTGCCAGCAGAATGGTGGTAATCTGTGGCCTGTGAATTGCTCCCTTTCCTGCACACACACTTCCTTCTCCTGCTGAAGCACCCCAGGACCTGGTGCTATGCAGTTACTTGTAGATTATTTTGTTTCAAAGTTTAGAATGTTAGAAATGAAAGTTGGATCCAACAGGATCAGAGAAAGATTATGAGACTCGGAAATGATTCCTGCCAGCAGAATGGTGGTAATCTGTGGCCTGTGAATTGCTCCCTTTCCTGCACACACACTTCCTTCTCTCTCACTCTTTTTTTTCTTGTTTGGGTAGAAATATGATGATAAGTTATTGAGTGGAAAAGCATGCTTGAACTGGGAATCCATGAAAATATCTTCCTGGTACTTGCATGAAATTGTCAGTAGGACTGAGTTTAAGTGCTGTCATTGTGTTTCATTACACAAGGAATTAACCTTCAAGTGACAAGAGTACACACACACGAGAGAAGCAGTACTCAAAAGCAGAGCCATTCCAAATCTGATAAATATATTTATTTCTTCTGAACAGGAACATGAGAATCTGCTGTCAAAATGGCAAACCAAAAATTTAGACAACCTCATTGAGCTGCACAACAAGGCTCCAGTCTGGAACGATGATACTCAATCCTATGTTTTGAACTTCCATGGGAGAGTTACTCAGGCCTCAGTGAAGAACTTCCAGATTGTCCATGACGATGACCGTAAGAGTCGGGTGGAAAGTGTGTGGGGCTTATTTGAACAGGGAGAATCCAATTTATTTCATGAGATTTGAGTGAAATAGGAGGCCCTTCCTGTAGAAGGGAGACTGGGTGGAGAGATTCAGCTCAGGGTTACTGGGGACTTATCAGCTGTCAAGAAGTTTATAAAAGGCCTTTCTCTCTCTGGGGTGGGTGCAGGGACTGCTGTCCATAGCTGCAGCAAGGGAGGGGGCAAATGCAAGCTTCCTGAAGGGAAAGAAAAGGATTAATACAGCACCTTCAGCCCAGCAAAAGAGTGGTTTGAGCGAGCGTTGATTCTTGAGAAGAAAGGTGATCTCTAGAATAACACAGTCACTCTAGAGAATGGATTTCAAGGCCACTCTGGTGGGAAAGGGTGGATACACCAACCACATGTATTTACTGCCAGATGTGTTTGGTGGGGTTTTTTTGTTTGATGGTGGGTTTTTTTTGTTTCCTTTGTTTGACTGCAAAATTGTTTGTCTCTGCATCTTTCTTTTCTCCCCAGCTGACTACATTGTGATGCAGTTTGGTCGTGTAGCAGAAGATGTGTTCACTCTGGACTATAATTATCCTCTCTGTGCTCTTCAGGCCTTTGCTATTGGACTCTCCAGCTTTGATAGTAAATTGGCCTGTGAATAAGAGACAACAGACTTGAAACATGGGACTCGCTCCCATCCCTTGTATCTTGTTGTAAGAGATCCCGCTGGAGTGATGAGAACTACATTGGGGCTGAAAGGGAACTGGAGGACAGACTTACGCAGACTTACCAGAAAGCAAAGACCAGGCCTCAGAGTATTATGGCAGTTAACAGCAGACCATCTTAGACTGTCCCAGGACTGAGCACTCTCTGAATGCATTGTGGAAGAGCAAGAAATATGGGTGATGCTGTTGTCATTAGTGTTGATTTTGCTATCAGATGCTGCATGAGAGTGGGCTAAGGAATTTAGCCCACTAATTGGAACCCCTTGCAGCTAGGATTAGAAAAAGGATGGTTTAGTATTCATATTCTTTGGAACTTCCACAGTGCCCCTGGAGATGATGCTACTGATCTGCATCACCATGCATTCATACAAAGGAATTCAGGAACAAGGAGGACAGTTATTGGCATGTGTTCTCTTTGTCCTGTGTAGCATTTTGCCGTCTGTTACAACAGTCTGACATGGTAGGCTTCAGGTCATGGCTCTGCAACTGCAGATAATGTCCAACAAATACAGAGCTGAAGTGAGACATTGGCTCTAATAAAACGCTTGTACTCTGTGGGATGATTCTCTGCTAAGGCTGACAGTCCAATTCCCTTTCAGTATTCTAATTGCTTCATATCCCTTGACTGTCTTTTTACCAAATAAAGAATCTTCAATGTTCCCTTTTTAGTTGGTGATATTGTTATTATTGCTGTTTCTGTTATTCTTAACCATGTGAAAAATGAATAGATGATAGAATCTGAGTTTGACAGAGGGTAGTATTGGAACAATATACAGTACTATTCCTGAAAAGCAGTGTTCTGATTGACTGAATCTAGACTGTAAGCTTATCAGAAATTTTTTTTTAATTTGTCCATTGTTTGTAATATTCACTACCTTTTTAGGAATTTAGTGACTGATTTCATTTTTTAACATGAGATTATCTGAAGTCATGACATATTAAAGTAGATTTTATATAAATCATTTTAGCCTATAAGAGGAGTAACCTCACAAGGAAATTGTGAGTGTTTTCCAAGGCATCAGTAATTTTTAAAAAATGAATAAATCTATCACAGGGCTTTGCAATGTGTCTTCCAGTGTTCCAGTTTTTAATGCTGGATGTACAATATGGAGACTGTAGGTCACAGTATGGAATGCTTCTTGACTCATATGGCCTTGATTCATCAGAGTTAACTGCTGCACACTGTGACGTGTAAACCTCATAATATACACATCTCTGCTGTGTACTGAAGCAGAGAACAGTTACTGTCTTGCCTGTTTCATGACTGTTACGCATACTCATGATGATCCTGGAAAACTCAGTCCCTCTACTGAGACAAGAATAGGTGTTCTCCAGCTTTGCATATCGTCATTGTAAGCAGACTAACCGTTTCAAGCTCCAAAGAGCTGGATTTATTGCTTTTGGTCTCTGGAGTCTTTACAGTGGTAGATATCACTTACTGTTTCTAAATAATGAAACTTTGTGAAGACATTTGCTGATATTGCCAGAGTTCACACATGGTGATCATGCGTAAACTCTGTATTTAACTGTAAATTGTGAAGTGATGCCGAGAACTCCCGCCTGCGTGCATCTCGGATGCCCATTCTGCATCAGCTGGTGAGCCGTTGTCTTGAGACATCTCATCAGCAGAGCAGTTGAAGAGAACTTGAATCACGGGTCTCTTTTGTGCCTTCCCGTACTTCCTGCACGTCAGGCTGGGGACAAGACCTGGCAGTGTTTTCCAGCTGGACTCTTTTGAGTTCTTGGCTGATGGCCCTGACCCATCCAGATAAACTAAGTCAGTTTGTTACCTGTCTGATTATTTTTCTGACTGGGATGGTGTGAAGGAAACTGTCTTTATGCTAGTTTGGAGTGATCTGAAGGCAGAATGGTAACTTCCAATTAGAGCTGATTTCCTCCGTGCTCAGAAGGCCACAGAAGTATCCCTTTACTCACCCTTTCAGTGAGGCTGGTCAGCAGCGGCTCTCCAAGCCCTCTGTTGACACCAAATGATCCTAGGAGGGTCAGGGCATCTGGATCTCGGTCAAATTATGCAGACAGATGAACTCATCAGTGCTCTTTTATCAGATACTGTTTTACATAAATTGTATTTATAACTTTTATATCTAAATGAAAATAAACTAATTTATATATTGGAAAAAAATCCTTCATTCTCAGTGAGGCTTTGTGTAGGATTTTCTGTCACTTGTGGGTGTTCTTTGTTCCTTCTCTTCCAGATACTACCTCATTTTCTTCTTCTTGTATCTCATCTCCCTTTTTACTCCCCCTTTTCCTTTGTCATTCTCAGTTATCTTCCTGTCCGGTGGGTTTTTTCATACACTTAGAAGTCTGGGAATAAATGTAAGGTTAGTCCCTCTAATGCTTCCCACCCCCTGCCCCCACCAGCAGGTCTTCCCTTGTAGTCCTTGGTGTCCGTTTGAGTCTCTCTTGAAGCGAGTTGCACTTTGCTGCCCCACGCTTTCAAGGTTTCTCCTACCACCCAGCCTTTTGAGACGCTTCGTCATGCATTTTCCTGCCATCATCCACCTGAACCCATTCTGCTGTTGAAGTAGGCTGCCGTTTCTTTCTGAATCAAGAACTGAAATAAATAATACAAGGGGTAGGAGGAACACCAAGTCGAAGCGATTGTTTTTCTTCTTATTTCCACAGGGAGATCTGTGAACCTCAGTAAGAGGAGATAATCAGAAACCGACACAACGCTCCGTGTGTAGGCCCTGTTCTTCACTTTTTTTCCAGCTGAGCCAAATGAGGGAGGGAAAACTGAGCATGAAATACTACTGGGCGTCTGTTCTCATTACAGTAACATTAGTCGCACACATGCAAATGCAGCACTCTTGAAACCTCAAAGACATCTTAAAACAAAGGAGGAAACATATCAAACTGTTCCATACGAATCCTAAAGGTAGGCCTAGCAGACTGAAACAGCTCCTAGGCTGCTACAGGCTCCTTGGCTCACAAACATAATAGACTGAGTAATTTCTTGCTCTAGTAGGGGTCAGTCCTGCTCTCACTGAAGTTTTGCCGCTCGGTTTGGTAGTGGTAGAGCATGGTTTTTTGTTACCATCAGCATAATTTAATTATCACACTTTACCGCGTGTGCGCCTCTGCTTGTTAGTAATAACAGCTCTGTAAATCTCTCGGTTGACCCTGAATGAGTTGTCCCGTTGCTGGCACAGCGGACAAGCGAAACCTTCCCCCTGATGTACAGGTCAAGAGCTAAGAGTCTGCAAAACTGAACTGTAGACAGATTCCTCCCTCGGCAGAGCTGGGAATCTCACCTTATGTGTCAGTGTGAAACTGCTGTACATTAACAGCCGTTTGGAACCCTCACAGCTGAAACCCAGAACTAAGACACGCTGTCCTATGGCCAAGAGATACGGCCCAGCGTATAGTCATGAGGACGAGCAGAAAAGCAACACTGGTGTAAGGGCTTCCTAGCAGGGAAAACAGCCCGCTACAGCTGTGAAATGGTGAGAACTGAGAGCCCTGCCATGGAAGAAGGCAGAGACCCTGCACCCCCCTGTTATATCTCTTAAACTGTACAGTCTGTAGAGTTTTTGTCATTCCATCCCTTAACATGGTCTGTATGGAATTATTCTTTCTCTGCTGAACGTTGGAGGTCACTTCTTTGGTCCCAAAATGGGAGAAAAATCCAGAAGCAAATGTCACCAAAATGCATTAAGGTAAAGGCTCTTGTAACTGTAATCTGCTCTGGTAAGTTATCATTGAGTTTAGAGGGTATGTAAGTGGGTGAACGTATCCTAGAAGATGGAATTTGTGATCGTTAACGTGTCCAAACAAGGTGAACCATTGCAATGTCTGCAACAAAACAGCTTAAAATCATGAAAAACCCAAAGGATTAGGTTTTTTAAAAATTCTTAATTGAATTGAGCCATTTAATAAAGTAGTACTTTACTGTGAAAAATGACTTTATTTTAAAAGCTGTATATCAAAATCATTCAGATAGAGTATAGATAGGGTTGGGGAATTAAGCCTGATCACCTTGCCCAACTCCCTCTCTTTTCGGTTCTAAACAGGATAGTTTGCTTCTCCACGTTACAACCGTAAAGAAAAGAACGAAAACGAAACGCGCTCCACCAAAACCCCCTCTGTTCTCTTGAGTGGATTTCCATCTGCAATTGCCTGGAGTCCTGCAAACAATTTGTGTGATGATTCACAGGAAGGAATAGGTTTCAATTCCTTCTCTTTGAGCTATGTTGATTCTGCAGGGAAATGGGAGCAAAACAATTAAGTTAGTCACATCATCACGAGACCTGGCTGTGAGTTACCTTCATTATATATTCCTTTTTCACTAAATTACGTGTTTTAAAATATGGCTCGGTAGAAACAGTGGCTAAATGAGATAACGACTGGGCTTTATATAACAAAAAACCCACAACGTAACTTCAGTGAATTTTGTAACTTCATCTTACGCGTACTGTGTGCAGCCTTGATTCCTGCAGGTTGTATCGGAAACTTTTTTCTTAAGGATTCAGGAAATAAACTTACCGCTCCATTGCCTTCCAAAGAAAAGTAATTCTAAGCCTATGAACAAAAGATTACCAATATTGGTTATCTTCAGCGCTGAGCTGGCCTCCTACATCTCAAGACTAAGTTTATGAAGCTGACAGGTTTTGCCATCTGGTTTTTGAGGCCTTAGCTAGGTCCTGTTTCCAGCCTTTTCTCTGCAACTTGGAAGAGTTACGAACTTTTTTGGGTTCTTACCAAAAGCTGAGATTTTTCTTAATCCGTTGTTTCAACGTACTGAAGTTTTAAACAAAGCCAACTGCGTCGTACCTCTACCACAGGTAGTTCTGCACGCGGCAGGCGGCTGTGAAAATGCCACAGGATGAAGACACGGTTTTGCACTGCTTGGAGCTGCTCGCGGGATGCAACCGCTTGTACTGAACTTGTTTGTTTACTACTGGTTTTGGTCTGGGGATATGGCATTCCACCCCTAGTGCCGCTCTGAGTCTTGAATCACCACTTTCTAGCGCAGCG